TTAAACACATTAAATGATTATCAGAAACTATTAGGTGATATCAACTGGGTCAGGTCATATCTAAAAATAACCACTCTTGACTTAAAACCTCTATTTGACATTTTAAAGGGAGATTCTAACCCTAAGTCTCCCCGACAATTAACTGTAGAAGGAGAAAAGGCTATAGCAAAAATAGAACAGGCCATCAATAAACAGCAACTACAGTATCTAAATTATTCCAAATCTTGGGCCTTAATTATTCTAGCCACTAAATATACTCCTACAGGATGTTTATGGCAGGAAGGACCATTAGAATGGATACATTTACCTGTCACTCCTAGGAAGATTGTACCATCCTATCCTTCCCTAGTGGCCACTCTCATTATCAAAGGTAGACGCCGCAGTATCGAACTCTTTGGAAGAGAAGTTACTGAGATAATAATACCTTATAAAAGAGAACAATTAGACACACTATTACAATTTGAAGAAGAGTGGCAAATAGCTATAGGCAACTTCCCAGGACAAATTTTACATCATTTGCCAAGATCACCTATATTGCAATTTCTCTCCCTACATCCGTTTATATTTCCTATTAAATGTTCAAAAGAGCCATTATCACCTCCTGCCTCCTTAGTATTCACAGATGGCTCCTCTAATGGTAAGGCAGTAACAATCATTGACTCAATAACCCATGTTCAACAAACCCTAGAGACGTCAGCCCAGAGAACGGAGCTTTTGGCAGTCATTTATGCCTTTGAACAATTGCAACAGGTTCCCTTTAACTTGTACACTGACTCTCAATATATAGTTAAATTATTTCCTCATATTGAGACCGCCTCTCTCCCACAAGGAAGAACAGCCATTTTCTCTTTGTTAACTCAGCTACAAACTTACATTCATAAACGAGAAAAGGCTTTCTATATTGGACATATTAGAGCTCATTCCTGCCTACCAGGACCCTTAAGCGAAGGAAATTATCTGGCGGATCTACTAACTCGCCCAATAGTTTGTACAGCTCTAGAAGAAGCCCGGCGGTCTCATGCCATTCATCATCAAAATGCTTCTGCTCTCCGTCTATATTATCGCATATCTAGAGAAGCTGCTCGAAGTATTGTGCGTGACTGTGGCCATTGTCCTACTCATTTTCCTAGCCCTGCTACTGGAGTTAATCCAAGAGGACTTAGACCCTGTGACTTATGGCAGATGGATATTACTCATGTCCCATCTTTTGGCAAACTTTGCTATGTGCATGTTTGTATTGATACCTTTTCTCATGTTATCCTTGCTTCTGCACGTACAGGAGAAGCCTTTAAAGATGTAAGTCAACATTTATTCCAATGTTTTTCCTACCTAGGAATACCAAGGGCACTTAAAACAGACAATGGGCCTGCCTATACCTCTAGAGCTTTTAAAAACTTATGCTCTACATTTGGCATCGCACATACTACAGGCATACCCTACAATCCTCAAGGCCAAGCTATAGTAGAAAGGGCTCACCAAACTTTAAAAACACAAATTAAAAAATTACAAGAAAATGAGTTTAAATATTCCTCTCCTCATCATGTTCTACAACATACTCTATTTGTAATTAATATACTAAATGTAGATTCTGAGGGAAATTCCCCGATGTACAGGCATTGGAACCCTGATCTAACTAAACCTAAAGTCCTCGTCAAATGGAGAGACTTGCTTACAGGAGCCTGGAAGGGACCTGATGTACTTTTAACCCGGGGGAGAGGATATGCTTGTATATTTCCACAGGACGCAGACTCACCTGTGTGGATTCCAGACCGTCTAGTCCGACCTTATGTCTCACCGCCCTCCATCTCCGCCTCAACCTAGCACACCTGACCAGTGCCCGTCTGCAGCTGGAACCACCTGTCCATTGGAAGGATCATCCATTGGAAGGATCACATGTGCCCCCTTTTTGTCTGTCCTTATGTTTCTTTTTTTTTTTCTTAATCTGACTATTTTTTTTTTGGCCTTTCTCCTTCTCCTTCTCTCCTGAACACAGCCTTTTCTAGAATCTCCCTACCCTACTGTTCGAGGAATTTCTGCCGTGACTGGGGGTGTTTGGTATATGCCCCATACCTGAAGTTGTCTTGTGCCAAGAGCCTGACATCCTGGGCTGAGAAAGCCCTGTCCCAGGACTCTTCTTTGTCCTGTATTGGCCCCTCTTACCCTCGTGTCAAGAGGGACCCTCTTCTCACAATCCAATTGCCCACAGCTGTTGCCTGAGTTCTCTGTTAATGCTGAGGTCACGGTGACTGGTACCATGGATCTGTCTCTCGCCCAATGGAGTGAGCTGGGTTCTCTCTGGAGAAGAAACCTGGGTTCCCCAAGATATGTGATCAATGCCGGGACCCCGCCAGCAGGCGAGGGGATCCAAAGGCAGTTGCTGGGCATGGAGGCCAGAGGGACATAGACTACCAAGGAGACAGAACTGAACCTCACATTACCCTGCTTGGCCCCGGAGCTTGGCTGGTTAGTCAAAGACGGGTAAGATTCCTCAGGGAGGAACAACCTAAGACAGGCACAGTCACAGAGGGGCCAGTAGGAGAGAACTTGGGGTTCAACAGAGGTGGGGCACAGATCCTCACCACCCCAATGGTGCAGGGGCTTGAACACTCGCCCCTTCTGAGGAAGGTCTCCTTCCCCCATGGCTGCTTCTCGCTTCCCATGTCCAGCCCAGATAGGGACCCAGATAACGAAAAGAGACTTGGCCCAGCTCAGATCAGGACCAAGGGCTGAGATCAGTACCTAGATAAGAGACCTGGCTGACAGCAGCTTTGTTTCCCATTTCTACCTTGGACCACAGGGAAAGGGGCAGCTGGGGAAAGGGGCAGCTGAAAGAAAGGGCTGGAGCAGGATGCTGCCTTCTTCCCTTTCTACGCTTCCATGCCTTGTAGTTCTTTTGCTTTCTTTTCTTTTTCTCTCTACTACCCTCCATCCTCCATAACAGCTGACCCAGAGAACACAGCTTGCTCCTCCTTGGACGCCGACGCCACCATCAAGCACGGCCCTGATGGACCCTTTGATGCAGCCCTTCAACTCGCTGACACTTCGGGAAGCCCATCGCCAGTGACGCCGCCCACTAGCCAGACCAACAAAGACAATCAAACCAACAACTTGAGGACAGCTGAAATCTCTTGACTGAAGAGGCCGGCAACCTCCTAAGGAACGGGGCTCCTTGTGCGCTTCATCCACTATGTTTATAGCTATGCTTATTGTCATTGCTTGCCAGTCTTCTTCCAAGTCTTAAATAGCCCAATCTGAGAGGTGGCCACTGATTTGCATGCGCTATCATTTAAAAAATAAAAAAGGGGGAATTTGCCGGGAGCCGGTCCATCCTTGCTGCTTGACACAGTTGCTGCAGGAAAGAAACATCTGCACAGCATATGTTTCAAGGGACCTGGCATATATAGCATATTGTTCTTAATATGTTTGCTCTCTTTAGCGCCATGTGTTTTAACCAAGGTCACCTCTCCGAGAAAGGTTGTTTCCCCAGGTGGGGATCTTTCCCTGAGGTTAGGGAGGGGATACAACCCCTTAATTAAGTGCCAGGCGGGTAGTTAAGCTACATAATCTTTACTCCCTGGAATGGAGATAAGAAACGCCCTAACCTTTGTAATAGAAATTGACAGGATTAAAATCGGCTGGTATAAATATGGATGTAACAAGACAATAAACATCAGATCCTGATCAGTTCCTAACCAGAACTCCGACCAGAACTTTGGCTGGAGATCCTGGCTAGAGGTCCTGACTAGGCTGCTGATCAACTGAAGGCTGTCTTCGTGTCATTCCTTCTTCGCCGACTCCGTCCACACCTTTGGGGACCCCTGGACCCGCTGGGATTGGACCCCAGCAAACACTTTTTTCTAAAGATAAATATTTAGTGGGCAGGGAGCCAGCAATGACTTTCACACTGAGTTATTATTGATTTGAATCACATAGATTTGACATTTCAACAGCTAAGCATGTGGAGGTTTTGTTAGCCCAGAAGATGGATTTAAAAGGTTTGAAAACTTGTAGCACCACTTTCAGAGACAGAAGAATGGGGTTCAAAATAAAACATAAGCTTAATGAATAGAGAACCAGTACTTGTCACCTTTCTGATCACTTGTCC